TGTGATATTACTTATAGACCATATTGCCCAACCCTACATTAAGTGTAATTGTTCTTTTTGTTTGCTTTTCTACAGTCGTGGTTACACACACTCTCTCTCCACCTCCCTACACTCGTATATCAGTCCAATTCATTTGTCAAAAAAGAGAGAACACATAATGAGAAAAAAGTTAAATGTGATGAATGTGACTGATAGCACGACTGTTTAATAAAACCTTTATACAGCACATCTGTAGTCTATGTAAAGGGTATAGATCACTGTGAGTTTTGCATTAAGCTTCAGTTTGTAATATATGGATAAACCAGCAAACTCATATCACACTGAGGGCTGATATAGGCTTACTTTAGACAATGACTGAATCAACATGTACGTGAATGCTCAGCTCCCTCTCTGAAAGACAGCCTGAGACTATAAATCAGCTTATATGCTGCCTGAGCTCCTGCTGCCTGCCTGCAGTCTTATTAGTCTTATCCTCTCCCCACATACTGTACTGTACAATAAAAGATTGCTTTTCACTGCCATTTGTTAGTGTCAGCCGAAAGTCTTCACTGCAGCCTTCAAACAGGCCTCTCCTTCTGTTCTTAAAAACAGATAAGTCTCCCTTCCCAAGTTCAAACATCTGTATCAAGTGATAGCACCATCTATCACTACTTAACAAAACATAATCAAAAGACAAAAAAAGAGAACATTTCTTTTTCATCTATTTTTCTCTAGACATGTACAGTATAGATGGTAATTTATTATCAATGTCAATTTGAACTCAGTGGGAATAACACATTTCTAGACAGACATATTGGGAATACTGAATAAAGAGACAGATAATGTTTGTAGGCTTGACTGACGTATATATAGATATTCACTAGAGCTGCCCCTAAAACATTGCACTTTTGTGTAGCTGTGTCCCCGCAGGATAACAACATGGCGTTTTCATTTGAAAACAGCATTTTAAAACGAAAACATTCTCCGTCCATAAAATCACATCTGAAAACACACATACATGATCATTCACGTACAGTGGGCATGTGCGAGCCGCTGTAAACAGGAAGCTGATCGTCAACTCCGCAGTTGTTTAGTTGCAAACTATACTCTGAACGAGGAACAGCAGGGACAGCTGCCGCGTTAAAATGCAGAATTTAACTGAGCAGCTGCTAGCAAAAACAACAACTCTGGTAGTAGTAGGGTGATGAGACCCAATCAGGGAGCAACCGTGGGACTCTGTGTCATAGTTTCCAAAGGTCTCAATTTTTCTAGACTACAACATAAGTTTTCAAACTAAAACAGTGTCAGCGGTGTTTCCAGAAGTCTCTGCTTTAGGCGCCCTCGAAAACTCTGGAGTAGTGTGGACGCCAGGAGTAAACGTTACAAAAGAGATGCATTTCAAAATTAAAACAAAGTGGTGAGGATGTAGCCTCAAAATCTAACCTATTTAGAAAATTAAATGGACTGGAAAGACGAGAAGAGTGATGGAAATGGAGGGTGGCTTGATGCAAAGCAATGGTGCGGTGAATTGAAGAAGCATTAGTAATATTATTAAGAACTACTAAGTATCTATAAATCTATGCACATGTAAAAGCAGGAACTACAAGCACATGGCAAACCAAAATAGAGACCATTGTGCACCAGCGTCAACTCAAAATTCTAATTCTCAATACAGGCATGTTAATTACTGCTGTGCCACAACAGGCAGACAGATGGTTGACACAGACACAGAAAATATTAGTATAATAGTTAAAAACTTTTGTTAATCCAATTCCATGATCATTTTTGAGGCTGTAATTCGTGAGTGTTTCTAATATGTTACATTATTCCATTTATTAAGCATTTAGCATCTTAGAAAGATGTTTGGTCAGTACGAGCCTCCAGTAGAGCTTCAGTACTGTTGGCATGGATTCTCCAGGTCTCTAGAACTCCCTCATTTGGTGTTTTGGTGGTGGTGAGCGTGGTCGTATATACAGACTGCAGGTGATACAGACAGCTCGACAAATTGTGTCTGATCCTGTTCATCCCCTTTTTAAAGAATTCAGAAAACTGCCCTCGGGAAGAGGCCACAGAGCCGCAGTAGCAATGCCGCAAAAGAACGTTTACACAAAATCCTTTATACCAAATAACTTTGTTGAACTCGTAAGCATCATTCACACTAGAATCATGTCCAGTGTTGTTGTCTTTACTGTGCATGTGGTGTCATTTTATTATTGTATTTATTGTTTGTGAGTTACAATGATGTGTTTTAACCAGGCGGTGAAGCCAAAGGCAAAGTTCCACATCCGTGGACAATAAAGACTTTTATTATTATTATTAACAGCAATCTACCAAAGTAAGCACTTGTGCCCTCTGTGGAACTACCAGCATTCGTTATGATTCTCATTTATTCTCATTTATTTTGTCACTGATCCACAAGTAAAATAATGTGGACAAAATATTAGAAACACTTTCTTATATAATACAGTTCACTACATCAACACCACCTCATAATGTTCCACAGAGGTGAGTCAATACACAAACAGTTAAAGTAGTAGTGGTGTTTATATTGTTCACCCAGTGTCAACAGACAGGTCAGCTATCATTGTCTCTCTTTATTTAGTGAGGTGCTCCATATATCAGTGGAGGGTCTATAAAAATGCATTAGACTCATAAAAAGCTTGTGAGAGAACCTTATCACATGCACACAGCTCACAATGTATATACGGCTCCTACGGCTGTATATATGGCTTCGCATCAGGCCTCCAGTCGAGCTTGTTATAAACCAAACCTAAAATTGATCACTACGGTTTTGTTGTTGACTGGGTGAAAAGTAACTCAGCCCTTTAGGTCGTAACCTCAATTTATGTGAGAATAAGAGCACTTTAAGTGTCGTGTTTCAGGGTCGTAATTAGGATTTTACTGCATATCCCTAATATTTTCTCTCTGTCCAATTATCTGCTGAGAGGGCCACTTCAGGCCAGTATCCATGCCCTCATGCAGATTTGCTCTTTTGTTCTTCTTCATGAATTATTTACTCCGCATCTGTATTGATCCCCTTCTTGTCAATAGGTAAAGGCACATCATGACCAATGAGCCATAGCTCAAAATGAATAAAGCTCTATTTCTGGAATACAGCCATAGACCTCGGGAACCTTGAGACGTCATCAATGTTAATACAGTTCTCAGGGCTAATTGGTGCTGGATACAAGTCATCATGTCGAAAACACAAGGTAAGACTAAAATATGATAATCAGACTTCCAAAAATGTTGAGTCATAGTTATCTACAGCTGGGGTGAGCTCAGTCCACCAACAGTGACCTGATTAACAAGATACGCAGCAAAAAGGAAGCTGTGACTTGGGCAAGATACTGAACCCCAAATTGCCTCTGACAGCTGCTCCATCAGTGTAGATAAGTTAATGTCACTGTGTACTTTAAACTAACTTTTGGGGAACTTTATATAAGGCAGCTTTATTCGTAATTTATGAGCATGATAAGTTCGTTGATTATACTGTGGTATCATTAATGCTGATGATAACTGCTGCTGTGCCGAACGCATGCTGTCTCTGTTTTGCTAGCAAGCATGGTCGGTAGAATTTGGCTAGCCAAAAGTGAGAGCCTGGTGCAACTATGGGCTAACGGCCAAATCTGATCATTTGAGGGATTTGCTCAACAGATCTGTGTGCATGTGATTAACTCCTGATAATAACCTGAACAACTCTAGTGGGGAGCTCTTTCCTCCTCCAAACAATCGTTATTATATCGTCCTTTATTGGTCGACCTCTAGCTTATAACGTCTAAATAATACATATACAATGATCTCAGGGGAAGAGGCTTTGTGCTGCACCACTACAGGCCTTCTCCTGCAACCACTCAGCCATCCGTCAAATCCTGCTTCTAGCTGTCACTCTGCAAAAACAGGCTTCTGAACAAGGAACAGGTTTAAGATTACTGCGTTGTTGTAGCATTATTTGCTAATAACAACCAGCAACATGTATTATATTTCTTTTTTTTTTTTTTGTGGACTGAATTCACAAACTACAACAACAGTTAGAAGCCGCAACATGGCTCTAAGTGAACTACTTACTTCTGAGCTGCTGGTAGTTGAGAAAGAGTTTCCATAGTGAATACAGGAATGAAAAATAATATAGTGACTTTATTCCAGTCACAAAAAGGACAGAAATGACATTCTAAGATCCTGAACCAGCAGCAATGAGGCTGAAACACTTGAATTTGTAGTTCAGACTGAATTAAACACAACACAACTCTTTTTGTTTTTGCCAAATAGAAAAACATTGATTTATATTGCTGCATTGGAGATTTTTTATTTTAAACCTTTAGTGTATTCTCACAATAATTAAATGGATACACAAAGAATATGGGAAATAGTCAAATTGGACAACTGACTGTTCAAATCAAATGTGTTACTACTATAAACATGAGAAAGAGCATGCTAAATGACAGTTTTGTGTTGTCAGGTCAGGTAAGGCTGTGTCCAACTGTAAATCACTGCACACTGACTGATTCTGTACTAGCTCAGCTGATGTCATTAAGTTCAATGAATATTATTTTTAAGAGGTGATGAATCTACAAGTCACATAAAAAATGAATAATATAGCAAAATTGGTACTGCAGCACATTTACAGCACAGTTTGAAAGAGGAATAATGTGTTTAGAATCATATCAAATGAAAAGATATTTCGAACACACACATCACTGTGTCAATAAGCTCAAACAAACAGGTCGCTGACATTACAGTAGATGTCCCAGTGATTCCAATATTACCCAAAGCCTGTATGCACTCAGCTGTTTGCCAGGGGGAGATGTTTTTAGATGCACTTCACTAAATATGACAGTAAGGGCCAATTTGACCCACAGGGAGCCTCATTGATTGGTGTTGTTGTTAAAAAGGGCTGTGTGTGTGTGTGTGTGTGTGTGTGTGTGTGTGTGTGTGTGTGTGTGTGTGTGTGTGTTTCATCAATGTCAGCTCCTAAGCAGCAATTCACATTGACACAGAAAGAGGTAATGGTATTGGCTCACCTGATGAGCATCCAGATCGATGATGGTAGCCCTGGAGATGCCTTCCACTCTCTCGAACAGAAACTGAGGGATGAATGAGAAAATATTTGCTTTCTCTCTGAAGACAACACAGTTAACACATATCACAGCTCAGATTCTCACTGAGGGATTCCAAAGTAAAACTTTTACTTCTGAGACAGAATTACATTTAAATGGAAACTCAGAAACGTCCACAATAACCTGGTTACACTGATACTCAACTTTTGAAGAAAGCAGTTTGATCTCTTTCTAACTCTTACTTAGAGTATAACAGGGTACAGCTGCATGGGAGATATTTCAGGCAATCCTTTTTTTGGTTGTGATCTATAAAGGCTTTCCTCCAAATAGAATCCCAAACCAAAAGGCTATAAAATGACTCTGAAATTACTCTTTTATAATTTGAGCCACCAGGTCCAATGAAGCTTAAAGGATAAAACAGGTGTTAGTGTATATATTTCCTATTATGTGAATGATTGCTTTATTTCCTGTCTTTTTTTTTTCCCTACTCTTTTAATTGTCTCCCCCGCCCTGATTTCACCTGTTCCTAATTAGCCTTGCCTCCCTTGTGTGTTAAAGTTTTTGTCTTCCCCTCAGTCTTTATCAGTTCATCTGATCTATTCCAGCTTGTATTACTAGTTCAGTTCTCAGGTGTTTCCTGGTTCGATTACCTTGGTAAGTTCATGGTTGTGTTTCTCTCATGTTCCTCTAGTGGAAATGTTACATAGACAAGGTTTAAGATCTTGGACTCTGCACTAAAAATGATCAGGGTAAGAATGAATGTGCTGCATCCAGTGTAAAGCACTTTGCTCTCTATTCGTTTCTCTTTTTTCTCCTTCTTCTGTTTGATTCTGGCCATGCAGCAAAAAAAAAAAAAAAAAAAAAAAAAAAAATTGCTTACATTAGCTACAGTATCATCAACCACCATAAGTTACGAGTCACACCAGAGCATGAAGGCTGTAGCAGCAAACCTCCCGTGTGTATTGAGTATATTAAGTGTTACTTCTTTCAAAAGTTACATAATCTCACTTTAATCTAATAAGTGTGAATGTTTCCAATGAACTTAACCTGTAAACATCAGTCTTACTTTGATGGCCAGAGTGATGTCCGCGTAGGCACAAAAGCCCCCTCCCCTGTCACTGGAGCAGTGGTGGAAGCCTCCTCCTGGGAAACAGAAAATTCACTAGCTCAGTGTCAGGGCCATTAGACAAGCTGAGCAGGTCACTGCACATCTGAGCAGTCTATTATTCACAATGACCATTGGTGATTTAAAATAGGCTGTTATTGAATTTATCGCCACTTATAAAAATGGCCCTGTAGCACAACAATGGTTGTATTGACACCAGAATGGGACTGTTCAATTGCTACTTAAGCAGCAATGTACAGCGATGGAGAGAAACACTATGAAATTGGGATGATAGCCACTCATTCAGGATAAGAGTTAGAGTCCCATCTGCCCTGTCCATTAAACTATACTGTCGGGTAGAATATTAATAAAGGCTGGTAAGGCAATGGGTGAGATAAGATTATCATTTACTGCATCATTTCTCTAAAGATTCTACATCTTCATAATGTTGAGACACACAATACACAGATGTCAGGCGCATCGGATATTTTCTTTATATCTTTATTAAAATCCTGTTTATTGATGCAGGAAGATTTTTTTTCCCCTGATTCATCAACAGAAGGTGTGAAGTAGCTGAGTAAGCAGGAGGTGCAAAGTTACAACCTGATGGGGCTTTTTTTGTTCCCTGCTTGGCACACACTGGGAGGGAGGGATAAAGGCTGACCCTGGTTTTTCAGCCAAAGACCCTCTTATTCAGTCAGCCCAGCCACTCATGGCAGCAACAACAGCAACAACCTCCACCCCAAGCAAAGATGGTATCAACATCAATTTAAAGATATTTTTGTATCACTATGTTTTTCCAAATAGTACACTGCCCTCTATGGAAAGTTTAAATTCTGAAATCATCTATATGCCCAAGGACACCTGTGCACTGGTGGACAACTGACACTATTATCAACTGTATCAAACCTGGCAAATCACACTGATAATCAGCACTTGTGTAAATGCACAGACAGATGTTTAGGTGGTGAAAATTACATCAGCAAGGGCAGTTTTCTAAAGGTAAAGGTACGTTCTCTGACTGAGAGGAACAAATAGTATCAAGCCCACGGTTCAGTTTTAAGGAGGAGATGCAGGCTGTGTTAGCATGACAGCACAGATTAGAGCCTCTTGAGCCTCCTGACCTTTGCAGACTTCCAGAGAGTGAGTAGTGCTAATGCTAATATCTGACGACTGTTAAAACTGTGGGATCTGGATGAAAAAACATCAGACATTCAAATTCAATGTCAATAGTTTTTCATAATGCAATGGCACATCGTTTAATACAACTCTGTCCCGTCAACATGAGATTCACATGCAGCTAACTTATTATTTAGCATGTTGTGTAAGAAAAATGAAGAAATGCTGAATGGATGGCAGGAGCATTTATATTGACCACAACACTATTCATACATAGTAGATCTACAAAACATACAAAACTTTCAGTGTTTTTCAGCTTCTTGGCAACTCTAATCTCTTGGTTGACGTGATATTATGGAAAGGAAGTATTCCACTAAATGTGAATACTGAATTGAGGCACGAGTCAGATGATGACTTTTTCAATATCTAACCAAAGCCACAGTCTTTCCTGAAGTTTACGGAGTGTTTTATTGGCCTTAATATAATTATATGTGGAATGGAGGATTTGAACCTCAGGAGCCAAGTTACACCAGCGGTTTCCCTTGATTGGACGGCACTACAGAGGTTTCCTAGAGACTGACTTGCACAATACTGAAGTATTTATGAGCTAATGCCTGATTAAGAAAGTCAACGGCTTGAAACTAGCTTGTTGTTAATAAGAACTTGAAAAGGACATCACACACAAACTCAGTAATGGATTTATGAATAGCTGGTGGAACCTAATCCAGGACTCCAGAGTCACAGTTCTGTCACTTCTTCTTGGGTGGGTTCACTCAGTATCAACACCAAGGTCCAGACTCACACATGTAGAAGTTTACTTCATTTATTTGAAGGGGTGAGTTGCACTGGCCCCAAATTCCTGTAATATGAATATTGTAAAAAATAAAGGAACAATGCGTTGTCTTTGCGTTTGTATTTTCAAAACATGGCTCCACTGTCATGGCTCTCATGACATTTTGATTGTGCACACAAACTGCATTTTGGTGCATTTTCCCTGCATGTTACCTGTCCATGGTTGGTTTAGCCCAAATCACAGAATATGTTCTCAGGTTGAAATGAACTAGAATCACCACCTCACGGTTGTATCTCTCCACCTACCAGCCAAGTTGCAGCAAATATTGTCACAATCTCTAATTCCTGAGTTACAGCACTGAATAATGGCCAGAAGTGTTTTTGCAGAACATTATGATGTCACAGTGAAGTTCACCTTCCACTATTTGGTTATAAAATGTCATCATTTACACATTTTATTGTTATAAACATTTGAGTTCAATTGTTTCATAAATAGTGAATTAATTTGTGAGTTATGGCCTAAACCCTGTTTCATGAGGTCACAGTGTGACAGAAGTGATTAATTTTCCCTCTAGACGTTCCTGATATATAGGCTACTGCATTCACAAGAACGTGAGATCACCGTGAACTTTGAACCTTTGTCCATCAAAATCTAATTAGTTCATCTTTGAGTCCAAGTGAATGTTTGTTGCAAATCTAAGCAAATTTCCTCAAGGTGGTCCTGAGTTACCACATTTAAGAGGCCAAAACCGTGTTTAGTGAGGTTACCGTGACCTTGACCTTTGACCTTTGACCACCAAAATCTAATCAGCTCACCAAGTGAACGTTTGTGCCAAATTTGAAGAAAATCCGTCAAGGTGTGACTGAGAAATTGGAGTTCGTGAGAATGGAACGGACAGCCTGAGAATATAAAGCCTCTGGCCCTGGCTGTCACTGGCGCGGACACATAAAAAAGGAAACCCACTTTTCTAGGTTATAGTATGTGTACAGATCAATTTTAAAAGAGAAAAGCTATTTTTTTATTCCATATGCTCAATGTTTTGGTGAGGTTGTCATGACAACAAAAATACAATAGTTGAGTAAGCAAGGCTTCTATAGTTTATGTGATTACTAATTCTATCTACTTCATCGCCTCTGGTATGTTATCAGTCCTCTACCCCATTATACCCTGCACTAAAAAAGTTTTGCTTTTGTAAAAGACTTTGTTTATTTTTTGTAATGTAATTTTTCAAAAATGTAGACAGGGATGAAGAGAATGTGGTATTCATTCCATCTTTGACATTTTAAACCATTCTCCATTCTCTCCAGTTTCTCTGGAGACAAATCAAAAGTAAATATACATCAGATGCATGGTAGCAACAGGAACTCTTCATCGAAGTGACACAGTAAGTTGAATCCATCAACAAAACTGAAGGACAAACAACAACCGCTGGTGTTTGGCTGAACAGGAAGAAAAGGCCAAAGAGCTTTCTGTCACAATGGAGGACCAGAAAAAAGAAATAAAATGTCTCCACCAACAGGTGGAGGAGATGGACACAGCTCTGGAGAGTGCCAGGAGAGAGTGTGATGCCCTTCAACGAAGACTCAAACATGTGGAAGGCATGGTGGCACTAGAGGCAATCATGAGACAACATAACCACGGTATGAAGAATGTGCTTTATCGCCAAATGAGCATGGTGACAAAATATATGGGTGAGGAGAGGACGAGCATACAGAAAGAGCTGGAAAAGATGCAAGAGCTCCATGGCAAAGTGAAGTCTGCTCAAGACGAGGTTGAGAGGAAAAACCAGGAGATGCTGAAAGAACTGGAAGCACTGAAAGTTGAATGCAAGGTGGAGAAAGATGAGAATGCAGCTCTTCAACAAGAACTTGAGCAAATTCAAGTTTCATACAACACGATCAGCTTCAAGTATGAAACTGAGCTTAAGCATGAAAGAGAAAGAAATGACACCCTTCAGAAACAACTGAAGCTGCATGAACTTCATGCAGAAAAGCCGGACCTTGTCGGACAGCTGAGGGGCACTGGGGACGAGTCGCAACAGAAAATAGTGGTGGAGGTCCAAATCCTGCAGACAGCCACCTCAGAGGGGGAGAGGTCATTTAACAAAGAGCTGGAGGATCTCAGACCACGAGCCAAAGAGCTAACTTCAACCAACACTGTAGTCTCAGCTAACATCAAGGCTGAGGACAAAGACACTCAGGACCTTGGGAAGGAAACTGCCAAGCTGAAGGTGGAGGTTCCAGAGCAGGAGGAGGAGCCTGTCCCTGAGTCACAGGCCCACGAGCTCCAGGAAGAGGCAAGTGTCCCCAAAGAAAATCTCCACACAACAACAAAGAAGCCTTCAATGTGGAAAAGACTGGGCTACTATGTGGGACTGACAAAAAACTGAGGAAGTAGGAGGAGTCCGACTCTTACAGCAACTAACATATTTCAATAAATACAACTGAAAAGTAAAAGTTCTGCTGATAGAGTTTTATTAGCAGCCACAGCAGCTTGGCTGTGGTCCTGAAGACGCCAGCAGAAGCAGGAACTACCACAGAGGCTGAGTACTTTCACAAGTGTTTATATGTGTGTCAGTCTGTGGACAGATTTTGTCAACACGATAGCATCACAATCGTGTAAGAGACAGTCACAAAATTTTACAGGTGTGTAGTTTGAAGTTGTGTGTGGTCTGACCCATAAGTATTAAGTACTCATGCAGCATTAAGTGACAACTGAGTACTCATCGCGGCCGGTGTGATCCCATCAGGTCACATGGTTTCTAGTTTCTATATTAAATGAAGTGGTCCTACATTTAATCAGTGATGAGCTCCTACACAAACATAGAGTTTTCAAATAACAGTTTTTGTTCATTTACATGAGATATTTCTGTATTTCAGTTTTTTTCTCTGTGCTTTTTCACTGGTTTAAAGTGGGCAGGGTTTAGTGGGAACACTAAGAATCTTACACGTGGTGGGTTTCGAGGTCACTGTCAGTCAAATTTGATCAATATTAGATCAATATAATACTGTTTACAACTATTTCTAATGTAAAATAACATAAATCAAATAAAATATACATAGCAACCCTTTTATTAAAAAACCTGTAAATGAGGTTAGGAGTGAAAGCCCATTCTGAATGTGGGGTTTGGAATAATAATGGTGGAAGTTTGGGTTCATAATTGGACAGTTTGTGTCTCTGTGTGATATTCTCTAAGAGGGTTGATGTTAATCTCTCCTAGTCTTCCTGGGGCCAATTTCACAAAGACAGACTTTGACTATAGTTCAGATATGACTAATAGTCAGTCAGATGATCAATAACAAGACAGTTCCATCCAACATCTATCTGATAGACATCTATAGACTTATCCATCTAACTGATGTCTACATCTGACATCTAACTTTACTGTATCTGTAGCACAAAGCTCTCTAGTCGTCTTAAGTGGGACTCAGGGCTGGTTTATGGCTTCAGAACTAGTTCAAAGATGTGCTGTTTTTCATCCTGATCCAAATAGGAAGTCAGAGTGAAAAGCTGTCATAGACAGATGTGATATCATTTCAGTTCATTTTGAGCTGGTCTCCCCTAGAAGACATTCACGGTGCTGCACTTGGTTGTTCACATGAAAAGTGCCATAAATAATTGTCTAACAAAAAAGAGAGCTACAGAGATAAGTACAATCCTCGATTCCTCTGCAAAGCTGGCCAATCACGGCGTGAAGTGGGTTTTAAAAAGTTCTGACAGGTGTGACATCTGACAAGTACCTCGGACAGAGTATAAAGCCTGCTTAATTTGCCGTAAATTCTGGATATATAAAGATTTTTTTTATTCAGATTCAAAAAACACGGTTGACCAAGCAACCACATCAGACCACTCAGATCCACTCACTCTGAGTGAGATGTTTGCCATCTACAAGGATGAGGAAACTCTGCCGGGGAAATTCAGTGAAGAACGTAACAACACATAAAATCTCAGCACAGGTCAGACCTAAAGCAGAACTGAGGTGCTGTGGTTTCTTAACGTGGGAAGGCTCAGTAATTCTGCTAACTTGTCAGTCAGGGTCAGGATAGTTTCCTTGGACAAATTAAGAGGAAAATACACAGGTATGCTGATACCTGTGTATTTGCAGGTAATGAATACCCATCCGATGCCACTGTTCTCTTTCCCTTATTTAAAATCAGTATATCAGCTACAAGAAACTACATTAACGTAGGTTGATACCTGATGTCAGTACTGGGGTGATAGTAATCCAGTGGATTGGATTGGTCACGGGTAATAGCCTATCACACTGAAGGCTGCTGTACACAGACGGTCACAGACTAGAGCAGCTGCGTTTAACGAGCGGAGCTGTGTGTCGAAGGCAAGACAGCAGACATCAGTGAAGCTGTTACAACACCACACCCTGATGAACAAGTTCATCTGTTGGTCCAAGACACACAGAGAGAGAGAGAGAGAGAGAGAGAGAGAGAGAGAGAGAGAGAGAGAGCAAGATGGAGCAAGAGAAGCCATTGCTAACTGCTAAGCTAAAGTAACTAGCATCTGAATATCATGTAAACAACTGATGAATTAGTGGAAGTCTCTAAAAGCAGCAGAGAGCTCTGGGTGCTGGAGCAGAAACTTACACTAAGTAAGTTTAAATGTACAGCAGGTAGTTAGACTCTGTGATTAAGAAAACAGAAACATTAACTGTGTTCAGACAGAGCAGCGGTAAACTCTAGCAGTAACAGAAACTGACTGGAGATGAGACACTACACTGACCTCAGCACGTCAGCATGTAAACAGTCACTGACTACTGTTACTGAAAAGACATTTTACTACAGTGGAAGTAAAATCACTATGTAAAAATGTTCTCAGATAAAAGTACAAAGTGAGACAGCTAAAATGTTTCTGAGTAAATGTGTTACATTTTAAAAGGGGGAGGGGGAAAACATCTTATATGGTGATAATAATAATATATGATAAAACTATTAAATTAAAGAGCATCTTTAGGCTGCCAGGTGAATCAGTTCCCAGGTGAGAACTGCACCGAAATCAACCAATTAATGCAGTCAGGCTCTTTGCACTCTGTGCATACAACTGATAGTTACTAATATACACTCAGTTGTCAGTTTATAAGGAACATCTAGTTAAATGTAATGTAGTCTAATACAACAGTCCTGCAGTAACTCCTCCCTGACAGCTGTTGATTCAACTGTATGATCATCATGGAGGATGTCGTGTTTGGAGCTGTATTACATTATACAGAGGTGCTTCTATTATTTAGCTACTCTCATTGATATAAATGGGGTGGACAAAATAATAGAAACACCCGGACGCCATGGTGAGTGTTCTTACACAGCAGTAGTTTTGTGTTGGCATATCGGTTCCAAATATGAAAGAACCATATCGGTCTATCCCTACCCTAAAGTCCTCCCAATGACTTGCTTTAGATTGGAGAAACCACTGCCAGTTAACATAATCCAGACAGCAACTACATTTTCTCACAGATGTTTTTGGCAAAAAAAAACAAAAAAAAACTGTGTTGTATAAATGTATCATGGAGGAGACAGAGTTGGACACTGACAGTAACAGATGAGTGTCTGTTTATGTGTTTATATCATTGTCTGCGCTGGAGATTGACTTACCTACATTTACGGCCCACCCTCGTTCAACAGCTAATTTTCCTGCCTGTGGAGAAAACAATATATCAGTTCATATCAAGATATCAAGATTTCCATTTATGAAAGAAAATAAGCCACATAAGCCACACAATGCAACAACAATCAAGTGGTTTTTGCAGCGACCTCAAATTGATTCATGTTCATTAAAGAACAGAAACAAATAAACAATTTCTTTATGAAATGAGAAATATGCCCCGAGGCAATGCATTCAGATGTTGCTCTTCACAGACTTGGATAAAACACTTCAAATACTGTGCGTCATTACCAAAGGCAGGTTCTGGCTGTCGAATTTGAAAAACTGACCTCCAATTATCTAGGGCACATACAGAGTTTCTTCATTTACATACACAAAAACAGACATTACACACAATGGCAAGAAAAAAGTATATGAACTCTTTGGAATTAATAAATCATAAGATGTATCATAAAATTTGATCTTGATGTAAGTCGCAACTATAGACAAACACAATCTGTTTAAACTAACAACACACAAACAGTTACAATCTTTTGTCAGTGCTGGTCGAACTCTTGGGTTAAATAACTGGTCGAATCTTCGTTGACAGCAAAAGTGCTTTCAGAGGAATTCTCGACCATTCCTTTTCACAGAGCTGCTTCAGTTCAGCCGTATTCTTGGGATGTGTGTTGCGAGCGGCTCTCTGAGGTCACTCCCCAGCATCTCTGTTAAGTCTGGACTCTGACTGGACCACTCCAACAGGTGGATTTTCTTTGTTTGAAGTTATTCTGTAGTAGATTTACTTTGATGTTTAGGGTTATTGTCCTGCTGCATCAACCAGCTTGTGGACAGCCACTCTGACATTATCCTGTAGGATACCTTGATAAATTCATTTTCCCTTTGATGATGGTGAGCTGTCCAGGCCCTGAGGCAGCAAAGCAGCTCCATCATAGATAGGGCTGCCTTGCTAAAACAAAACATTTTCCCAGTAGTGTTGTGGAGAGTCAAAGTGCTGTTTGGTAAATTTCAGGTTAGCATACATATAGTAGTGATGTCTTTTCTTTGGAGAGCTCCCCCCTTGGTGTCTTGCCATAGACAAGATGCTCCATGCACCATGACTTACATATGGTAGACTCATGAACAAAGAAATTAACCAGCTTTTATTTGTTACTCTGAGGCTCTTTTTTTGTCTCATTGAGCGTTCTGTGTTGTATCTTTAGAGTCATATTAGCTGTGCGCTCACCTCTAGGGAGAGTAGCCACAGAACTAAATCAACTTTATTTATAGACTGTATAGTGATGAATATCCGAACTCTTCTGAGATTTCTTTGTAACCCTTCCCAGCTTTATGCAAAGCAGCAGCTGACAGCAGTCTGACGTCTCTTTTTTGTGAGGCATGCATTAGCAGTTTGCTAACTCCTGACTCCAATTATCTTTTGTTAATGTCACTACTCTTGGGGTTCACATACTTTTATCAACCTACACTGTGGATGTTTGAAAGATGTATGGACAAAACAATGCAATGATTTGTGTGTTATTAAGTAAAATTGATTATTATTGTCACTTAGATGGAGATATGACCATATCACAATAAAAGTTTACACATAAGTGCAGGTCCTTCTATTTCAATCCTATTTCTTACCACTGTGATTGCTCCTGGAGGTCTTTGAGTGTTCCTATTTAGCATCTATTGGGTTCAAATGAATTATAATAACACATTTTAATAGCCTGTGAAATAGCCTGCACTGCCCTTGATTTGAACAAAATAATTACCTCAAGAATAATAAAATATGATTATATCATAATGATACAATTATTCTAGCCCTTACGTGGACAGAAATGTAGAAAGACCGCATTATGGTATGAGTGACTAATGTACTGCAACTATTTCTTGATTTAAACAACAGCCAGTTGGTGTGTTTCCATTAACTTGTTTAATGCACAATTTGAAATTGCAAATGTAAAAACAGGCCATGGAAACACGTGAAAAAAAAACTCAACAACAAATATCCAGCAACCAAGACTCTAGGCTCTTCTCATGACATTCCAAAATAAAGGAAGCAAAATAAAGAACTATTACCCAAGATAACTATTACCCAACTATTCCTTTACATTTACATGCAAAAATATTGCTGGAGCACACATTTACCTATAACATAACAGTGTACGGTATCAGGAATTGGGGAATTATCATACATCCCCACTATGTGTTAAATCTACTCCTGAGAGAAGAGAGACAGGCAATGTTTGTCTCTCATGTTGATCAACCTAATCCTGATGTGCATGGCTACGCATGAGGAAGCAGTTATTTAGGGCCGCTTGCTCCACTGGCTCATCCTCTTAAGAAACCACTGAAGGCTTATCTAATACACTTCACAAATAAAGGATGGTTACAACACCTTCAAACTATTGCGGCCAAAATGTGATCAGATTGATCATTAATAGCTGAGACATATCAGCTACATTCAAGAAAATCCCACAGAAGGTTCCACACTATTACCCCGTGGTGTTTCATTCACGAAGAGGAATGGTGTAGCATGCACAGTGGCAGATGCTCTTTTCAAAGGCAGATCGAGATTTCTCTCTCGGATGAAAAAGGGGGCTTCTCTGCCATGTATTCCTCGAGCTCAGTGTGTAGCACGCCTGAGGGGAGGAGATATGAGCTTGGGAGATTCTGTATAAATGCCAATAGATTTCTCTGATGGATGAGTAATGACACACATTAGCATGTATGCACACACTCTGGCCATGGCTCAACACTCTACTTTGTCTGGGAAAAACAGGCAGTCACTGTAACGGAGTACCAGGCATATTTTACCATAGCGCTCACATTTAATCTGCACAACTCCACCAACCATCAGTCCCAGAATCTCTTTTAGTGTTAAGACCATTGGCATGATGCTAAGTCTGATATTATATCTAATTTTATCAAGTATATAACTGAAAATCACACAATGTGCATAATACTGATCAGTTTGTGCACATTAAAGTCTGCAGCCATACTTATATCAAATTAGCTTCGTGTTTGTTTTTTATTCCTCTGACTTCCTTTTTTGCATAACAAGACTAATAGAGATGGATCCCAGTTTTTCCTCATGCTCCACTGCAAAGAAACTGCTGTACAAACAGGAAAATATCAAACAAGAGTTTTGGAGAGAGGAAACTCTCAAACACTTTACATTTAGAGAGGTTTTAATCATGAAAAGACAACACAAACACTTTTAGGTTTCTACAGGAGATGAACTCCTCTAAGGATATCATTTTAAAAAATGAATTACTATTCCATGTACAAACAAAGTGGATCCTTGGTGAGTTGGCAACATGGGCAAGAATGAAGTTCAAATCATGAGAAGTAAAGAAACATGGAGATCAAAAAATGGAAGAGTGAACAGCAAAGTCCAAGGGGTGATACCATCATTACCATCACATATATATATGTATATACACACAATATCGGTCCTGGTCCTGCTAGTTCATTTCTTGTCACTACATGGCTTTGTGGGGCTTCAAACAAAGTAACAATGTCCATTTATCAAACATAATTTACATGGAAGCCATTCCCCCTCAGCAAGTGCTGGGACCCCCAGTGTTCTTCTATCAGTACAGACTGCACAATTAGGCCAGGCTGAACTTTTTATTCCCCTTAACCACAACATTTGCATAAAATATATAATGAAAAACTATTTTGTCAACAAAACCTCGCTGTTAATGCTGTGTCATCAAATACAAAGCTTGAAGTTGATGTAAAGTTTATAAAGGTAAAATAAACAAAGTCCCCTGTACTGTAGCTAGAATTAAATGTCATCTCTATATACAAGCAGCATTATAAACTGCACCTGTCTGAGAGTTTCTCATGAGCGATAAAGCAGTATATGGTGGGCAGCAGCCCAGCAAATGTAAATTCATTGCCAACATAGTGATCCATGAGCTGGACTGATGCAGATCTGCAGCAGTGTGGCACACATGGCCGGCTCTATACAGCACAGATCCAGGGGGATAAAATTAGGCCATAACTGTATGTTTTTTAATACTATACTATAGTCTGACACCAAAAAAGCAATGTGTTGCACTTAAGCTACTACAATTCATCTCGTTTACAAAGTCAAAATGAATAAATTTGTTCTCACTGTAACTTTTCATATGCTATAAAATTAACAAAATTATTTCTGTTGCATTGGGAGTAAAGACAAGGATTTCTTTGATATTATAGCCTTGTTATGAATAATGGAAGTTCACCAGGGAAGTTTAAGATTATGAGATACTGAGTTAAAGTTCATCTCCAATATTTAAGCTGTTTTTGTGAAATTGCCTTCAAAGTCTGTAAATTAGCCCAGTTGTGATGCTGGCTGGGCGCTTGGGGCCGCATGTGTGATCTGTGATGCACGTGCTGAGCTTGTATTATTTGATAAAGTTAACAGAGACAGTAGTGGATAGTGGGACAGTACGGAAAATCATCTCTGTTTCTTCCTCTGACAAATGAGGGTGGACACTAGGAAGATTGAGAAAATATGGAAATATTATCAGCTGTAAACGTGAAGACACGTAAGGTGGAAGTTAGAACCTTGCCTACCTACCATTATTGTTCCTCCTGTCTGTGTCCGCAAAGGCTTCAACACCTTCCGCTGCACCAGGAAATTAGGCAGAAACAGGAGAGGTGGGATTTCTGTGATAGTTGCCACCACCAGAGACCACTACAGTGAAAATGGACACAGTTAGACACACCATAGCTATGTTTTGCTTTACTGTGCCATGACTCTATCACTTACAATAAGGCAAAAAAAAAAAAAAGAAAGCCTAACAGGAGATAGAAAAACCAGAATCACCACCTCATGGTCGTATTCCTCCACCAACCAGCCATGTTGTAGGAAATACGGTCACAATCTCTCCTTCCTGAGTTACAGCGCTGAATAATGGCCACAAGAGTTTTTGCGGAACATAATGATGTCACAGTGAATTTGACCTTTTACCATTTGGATATAATATATCATCACTTCATCATTTGAGACACATTCGACATTTGTGTTAAATTGTGTCATAATTAGTGTATGAATTCTTGAGTTATGGCCAAAAATGTGTTTTGTGAGGTCACGTGACCTTTGACCACCAAATTTGAAGAAGTTCATCCCTGAGTCCAACTGAACGTTTGTGCCAAATTTGAAGAAATTCCCTCAAGGCATCACTAAGTGTCATGTTCGAATCATGACGAACAAAACGAACTGACAAGACAACCCGAAGACATAATGCCTCCAGCCCTGGCTGTCGCCGGCACAGAGGCATAACAACGTGTGCCACCAGGGTTTGGATATAAAAGGTGTAGAAAAGCTAACTAAAGAAATGCACAATAATGCTGCCAGGGGGTTTATGACTGACCCTCACATGACACAGAACAGCACAGAATAATGGTGATTCACAGCAGAGTACTGAGGTACCTCTGTTGAGCCCTCCAAGATTTTCTTCTGCATGCAGACACATGAAGAGGGGGAGAGAGAGTAAATACAGTCTTTGAACATGATAGAACTAGTTATCAGTGTATGAAATGGCCACAAACAACTGGACTGCAGCTTTCCAGATCCACTCTGGAAGGAAAAACAAACATGGATCCTAATCAGCTCCTGGGGCTGATAAATTAAAAGCACAAAACGTCTTACTGACTCAGGGGACTCAGAGAGGTGCTATCTTCTGAATATGCTTGAAGTGATTGATTTGAATGACGACTAATGGCCCTATGGGATAATCCACTGCATTCTAATGAGAACTCAGTCTCTCTTATGTCTCCCCCTGCATTATAATCACAGGTGGAAAAACCCAGGCAACAAAGTGTTTGTTTTAAAACTAATTAATACTATATAATATGCATGATATAATAAGAGATATATCAATTTAAACCTGATGGATCGCTCATGTCCTCAGTGCTTCTGAGCGATGCATGTGATACACAGAGAAAAGAAATGAGGAGATGAAGAACTGCACTGAACATGTCACGCTGTCAAAATGAGAGATGGACTGAGGGTTGGCAGAGCTGTGGGAAAAAAAAACTACCTTTAATCTGTTGAGGTAGTGTTTGGTGTGAACCACCAGCAGATCCTCCTCAGTAGCTTCAAGGGCTCCCACTATGTTCCCATCATTGATGAAGTGCTCCTCTGAGACAAAGGCATTCAGTGATTGACGGGCATCAGATTGAACATTTGAAAATAAATATGCTTTTCTTACATGAAAAAAAAACTTGGACTGTGATAGCAGTTCTGTGAAACAAATATTTCATTTTCTTGACACAAATGTTGGATTTCAAAATAAACGGAAATGTCCTCACCCTGGTTTTTAAGTGAGTGTTTGTTTACTGAATTACCACTTCTTAACCAAGATGTTAGCATTCATTTGAATTGTTAGCAAACTAATTTGCATGCACAAGTGTAAAACATATCAACAATATATTGGTATCTGTATACTGTATACAATCAGTTGCCAGTTTATTAGGAACACCTGGCCAAAACCAATGCAGTCTAATACAACAGCAATAAATCCAACAAGCTAATTTATATCAGTGAGGGTAGGCCAAAAAGACCTCTCTGTATAATGCAATACAGTTCAACAGCACCAAAAACTACATCCCCCATCCAATCATCCTCCATGGCAAAGAGAAATTTGAATTAAAACCTAAAACAAAACTGGGACAATATCAACTGCTAAATATTGATATCAATATAAACCTTATAAATCCAGTATTAGCTGCAAAAAGGGTAGTGACCATCCATCCAAAATACGTTTAGGATAATTACCTATCCTCTATTCATATATTTGTATAATTGCAAATGTACCTTATTGAGATATCTTGGTTTAAATATCGTGTCTAAGTGAATGATCATGAAATGAATAATATTAAACTCTTTCACAAGATCAAAGTAAAAAATGTCTTGACAAGAGAAATTTGTTTTTTAGCATTTCTGTTAGTTAAATACTGTATAACCATGTGGCTCAATGTGAGGAACCTGAATTAAGAGGTTTTATCATGCTATTCAAAGTACTCCAGTAAACACTGCAATATACAGTATTGATACAATGGTTACCTAACTACACTATAACTGACAACTCATTACAGTAACTTGTCAGTAAAACCCGGATTAAATAAATCTAAAAAGTGATTCTTGCAAAGGAACTAAACAGCCTTGAATTTTCTAACATGCAGTTATAGTAGGCTACACTCCACAAACACTTCACATGCTCCGTACCAATGTGATTTTTAATATGATTATAAGGCTACAAAACGTATGGGTTTGAATTTTAACATCACATAATGTTCCATTATTATTATTATTTTAGACTAATATCAGCTGTTAAGTTGTGGGACTGTCTATGGTTCTTACATCCTGGTGTTATAAAAAGATTGATCTAGTCAAATCTGCATCATCTACTTATGCTTCAATTATGTCAAGGGTAATTTTAGATAATCCGAGGTTTTCTTCTGTAAGTTGAAACTCAGTTCATTATTTGCATTCTTAACTTCTGGAGCTTTTGTGAATTCATTAAGCTGAGTATGGCACTTTCTATAGCAAAGACAATCAATGGTGCAGTTGGACAACAACTTCATGTGAAGTTGTGCCAGTGAGCCTGCGACTGTTTTCCCTTGGCCTTGAAACCTGCACTGGGCCTCATCTACTCTACCTGCACAGACTCCCACAGGGAGTTTTCTTTAATTATCTGTGCTCTAATGCTCTGCCTTTCCCCCTACTACAAGTACACCTCACCTCACCACTCTCCTCCTCTCCTCTTTGTTCTCCACCTCTCTTTGCGTCTCTGATCTACTCTGAGTGATCCCATATACATCAGCTTGGGGAGATGTACTCCCCATCTGCCACTCGGTTCCTCACTCTCTTACCTTTCAAGAAGCAAATGACTTTCCCCCACTTCCCAGCATCAAATGGATGGAGCTTTTCAAGGCCCATGAAGGTGATGTTGTAGTCTGGGTGGTACACGATGGGCAGGCATGTTCGAGGGACACTGGCGTACAATTCAGTGTGGTGAGAGCTGAAAGAAGATTGTCAACACTGGTGCATTACATTTACATGAAGTGATTTCCCCAGTGGCCTAATAAGCACTACTGGAACTTTCATGTTGTTTGTTTTTGCTGCTCACCTCCTTTTCCCTTCACTATCGTCTTTGTGAGACATGTTTTTCATGCATTGCTACATTCACCTGGGGGAAAATAGAAAAATATCTCTATCAGCTTGCAGTGAAATTTAAGATTTTGTGACATGAAAATATTTACAGTCATGAAATATGAAAAGAACATTTGAAAATGCTTTAATTCAGCAACTTGGTGTGTCAAACTAGCACACTATCACTGTTACTGATCATGGAAGATGGTCATAATAAAATACATGAATCAAAAGATTCATTTCTCGCACATGCGCAGTGGGATGTCTATATTTCCAAAGACGCAACGGCGTAAGGAAATGTTTCCGGGGACACACACAACCTCAAAACGTGTGTGAGGAGGTCTGTAATGGTTTAACCGAGCTCATTTTACCGTGTAAGACAAAAACGTTTCCAGGGCTGCTGTATATGAAACGGCCCGGAAGGGTTTCAGGGTACAGAAGCTGCCAACAGCCGATGTAACTCACCTGCTACTGTATGTGGAATAACACAAGTCACCGAAAAGCTGCAGCTGAAGGAAATAAACAGTCAGTGGAGACTGTCAGCGTGTGTCCTTCCCGACAGGATTTAGCCTGGGTTATTCGACAGCAGCTATTAAAAAGAAAACCTCTTTTGTTGACAATGTTTCTTTGACAGTATCCTCATTCCCTCCTGCTCCACGGCTACGTAGAATACGTACGTAGAATGCGCGCAAGCGTTGCTCCTGCTAGCTCCGGCAGTTACGCTCTTAGCATACAGGCAGATTTAAAGTAGAATGACCATGTACGTCGCTACTCACTGTCTTCATACCCGGTCCTGTTCTTCCTTAAGTGAAAGACACTCCATGTAAATGATATCGATTATAAACAGAAGGCATTACTTTGGTCCTGCTCAAGGTACATTATGTTTCAGTGCAAACTGTTGAGTATTTGTTTTACTCGTGCTTTTAATATGCAGCAGTTGGCTGATATAAGGATTCGGTTATTTCTTAAAGAAGCAGGCATCCCTCAAAATTTTCAATCCTTCAAATCTTTCAAAATATAATAATTTAATCAGAATTATCATAGAATTATATTATTCCCATTTATATATATATTTTATATTATTATCATTATTTTTATTTGTGCTTTTGTAGGCTTTACTTGTTGAGGTGGGATAAATAACGTCTTATCATTTCTACTGGTTTGAGATTAGTTCTCTCACGTAATTCTCAGCATAGGTCAGCCCAACTTTACCCTCAGCAGACGTCAAATCAGCCCGGTTCACTCTAAACACCCTGTGGGTGCAGAGAGCCTTTACATCTACCTACATTAGGATGGTTAATATATATATATATATATAGGGGGAGAATCTAAGACATAAGAGGATATATATATATATATATATCCTCTTATGTCTTAGATTGGAGATATTACATGAAATTAAATCTAGATTCTCCACCTCTATCACTTGTATCCAGTGATTTATTCTGTTATTTTATCCATCGAGATGTATGTAATTGTAAAGG